CAAATGCGCTTTACATTAAGTAATAGAGACGTTACGATTTTAGGACGGCAACGCGGCCAAAACAAACTCCGTCCTTCAAATAAATGGTAAAGATAATTCGTCGTATATTATCAATCGTATGAATTTAATACAGTCTTAGAAGTTGAAGACATGGGTTTTATGTTTGGGAAGAGTTCTAGCTGAACCCAGTTTGAAGTTGCACTTGTTGCGGCTTGAAATCGTAAGGTCTCTATTGTCGGCTCGGTTTACCTGGCTATAATTACATACTAAGCCTAAGGCAGCGTTTACACTGTACCGTTTTCGTAGCGTTCTCGTATTGTTCTTAATCCTCAAGGGAACGCAAGACAATAGTCTAGTTCTCTCGAACAATACGAGAACGCTACGAAAACGGTACAGTGTAAACGCTGCCTAAGTCACTATTTTACTGATCTTTTACAAAAATTGTGGTATTACTTTCTTAACTGTGTTTATCCTAACCATAGAAATAATAGACAGTTTAATATTTCTAATATTTCTAATAGGTCTGATATTTCTATGATACTAACCCACCTTGAGCACACGGAGAAAACTCACAACTTAATTTGGCACAGCGTTGACCATATTTTATTTTCGAACAAAATTTTGAAACAATTACTGATAATGTCGTTCAGTCAAAGCCATATCATTGTGTATGTCACTTGACTCTTTTCACATGAATTGGTAAAGAGAGATCGAACCCACGATTCACTTGCTCTTCCAATCTATTTGTTTTTAAATAAATTAAAGTACTCATTAATAATTCATAAACCTTGTGGCAAATCATGTCGGCCATCATATGTCACATGGAGTAACTTTATATCTTATAAAACACATGTGGCATTATATAATTGTTCATCCTACACGGCAAAAAACGCCGAGCCCGCTGCTGAACAGGATTGAACAATGTTTTGCTGCCTAGGTTGTTCACACTTGACAATATTGAACAATATTGTTGAGCTTGAATCGGGTGTAACAATATTGTTCAATATTGTTGACAACTCTGAACAATGTGGGCAGCAAAGCGTTGTTCAATCTTGTTTTCATCAATATTGCAACAAGCTGAGCGTTTTTACGTGTGTAATTAATATTCTTATAGGCAGCACACTATTCTTGACACGCAGTGGTTTCTCCAGAGTTCACTCGACCCAGTCTTTCGCGCGAGTTATGCATTGTCGAGATCGAGATGGTAGTCAATTTATCCCGGGCGTTCTGTGACCCCCGTCCACGATCATATCAGATCATGTCACCGGCATCTAGTAAATTACTTAAATAACATCGCCCGAAGTTCGAAGGTTTTACTCAAAATTTCAAAGGAACTTTACAACTTTAGAAAGTGGAAATATTTCCAGATACATGGGCCATCATGCCAATACCGTATTTGCCATCAAAGAACAAATATGACTGATTTATACTATTGTTATACTTATTTTGTCTAAAACTACATTCCCATGCAGTACATGCAAATTAATACATCCTCCGAGAAAATTCACAAACTGACCCCTCTGAAATTTGAGGTCCTTGACGTGGCTAGAAAAATAATAAATGCCATACCATCACAATATTTTATACTAAATGTGAGCGGATCGTTTTATTTATATATGGCCGCTCACATATATTACCGCACTTCTAGTTTTGAAATGAAAAATTCTTGATACAGAGATATTCTACAAGTAGTTATTTGAAACTTGGTGGTTGCAATAATTCACCTTTTTGTGAATTCTATACATCAAAGACATTAAAAATTTTGCGAAACAACTGCAGGTGTTGAAAGCAGAAGTGCGTTATGCATCTTATGCTATATATAGGAGATTCGCAAACTGAAAATAGTAAGATATTCGTTGTACAGGGTGTATCAGAAGTCAGTAATCCAACTCAGTTGACGTGCGCTCAATATCGAGTGCACTGCATGCTATTAAATTTTCCATAGTAATGATGATTAGAGTTCTATCTTTCGACTGACGTCTTTTTCAGTATCATTTGAAGCAAAAGTGAAAATTACCGGTCAAAATATATCACTGATGTGCCTTATTAAAACAGATGTGCATAACAAAAGAAAAACCGACAATTATTCACTAATTGTCTTACCAACAATGAACTTAAAACAGAAGTGTCCTCATTTTTCAACAATTATTTAATTTCCTCCCACGTTAGGACTTAGTTTTAAATTAAAATTATCTGATGAATTTTAGATCCAACTGCAGCAGGGATTTTTTTCCATACGACTTCGATCGGCAATTTTTATTCGATTACGAATTTGGACATTTTCCTTCATATGATGATAGGGGGAAAGGCATCATTGGATAGCCAAAACCCTGAATGTAATTGCTGTGTGAAAATTTTATCGATAAACCCAATATCTAACGCACGCCCAAACATGTTAAATTTGGATTGCCTTTTTTATAAGTCCGGATGAAACGGGGGTGAGCCGGAGTGCATGAGAGTTGGCAGTCACACTATCATGGTTAGCTGTTCTTACTGTTTAATGCTTTCCCAACACTATCACGTATGTTGAAACATAGTTGTGTTAATTTAGAGTTTAAAATATGTGTGTGTTTATAATATGTGTGTGTTTATAATACTATAATTGTGTGTTTTTGTACAAATATCAAAACGACAACAATTTATACGGAGCATTTTATATTTAATCTTAACGATCTAACATTTCTTATTTACATCATACTCGACATGGTGATTACACTTGTGTCTTATTTATATGTTATATAGTTATCTGCCGATACTGCAGTATGCCAGCGCGGAGTGTTCGCCCGGTCCGCCCTGCAGTTATACTGCAGCGCAAATTTAATTAAGATCGATATATATATTTATAATTAATCGTACAATATAATTTAATATATGAAATCAATAAAGGACTACAGGGAGATACTGGAAACTGCATGCATGAGAGCAGGATTTTTTATTAAAAACCCTAGTTAACGGTATTATTACATTATGTTTGTATATTTCTCAACTATTTCCGTATGAGATTTTTCTTGTATTTAAACCGACACTACTTCCAGATGAAGTTTTTCTCGAATTTGAACTTGCAGACTGACTCCAAGAAGGTCGAGACATCTTGCACTTTTCCATCACACGCTTATTTGTCACGAACGCGAGGAAGATAAAGAATCCTAAGAAACAAGAAATAAATTAAAAGCATGTATATTCATGGTCAAATTACTATATACTGAATAATGCTGCGGTTCAGACTAGGTGCCCGGCACTTGTTTTGGCGCTTTCCAAATGAAATTGGACACAGTGCCCAAGAAAGGACACTTCTTCTATATAGAGGTCAACAACGGCACTGTGCTCAAAATGTTTTGGGAACCAGTTTGAACATTGGGCACTAGAATTGGGCACCAGTGCCGGGCACCGTCAATCTGAACGTATAGCCTTAGGAAAAATTGTTGCTTCCTTGCTGCAGATCCCCAGAAAAGATGTTTCACAAAAAATAAATTCAGAAATATATTTCAGTTTCCGCTGCAAGCGTGACTTTGGTTGTGTCATTCATGCATTAGTAATTATTGCAATATATAAGGTTTGAGTGTTACCTTGCAAACTGTTAACGATCAAGAAAATAAATTTGACGATCACAGAATACTCCATAGCAAAGCCCAGTGTCCATGTCAATCCCATCACGACACTCAGTTTCCCGTACATCTTCACGTCCTTGGTGACTGTTGTTTGTTGGTTCTTTGTTGAATTATACTTGCTGGTTTTCTTGAAGAGAAAAATGGAGAAGGTTATGAAGTGACGGTCAGATTTCTCATCCCGTTCCTAATGTATTTTTTTGCCGGGCACTCCTGTAATTTTCCATTCCAATTTGTTCTTTCGATTAAGAATCTTCAATGTCACACTAATATTCTGATTAATTAAATGTGGCTACTACACTATAGAGCCATTCCGCTGTTCTTTGACTTATCAGCTCTCGCGTTTTCATAACAAAACGATTCAGTTTTGGTCAGATAATACCCACACCTACTATATTTGTAATAAAGTAAATAATGTAACGATTTATAATGGGTGAATAAATTCTTCTTCTTCTTCTTCCATGCTTTTACGGTGAACTCTCTTATTTGAAATATCAATTCTATAAAGATTACGTTCTCTATGTACTTACGTTGCGCACATTCGTAATGCCAAGAATCGTCCAAATAAAGGCGATGATGTTCAAACCAAGAGCAATTCCAACTGGCACTTTGAAAAACAAAATGTTGGACAGGTTGTCCATGATCCAACACGAGTTTGATTCACCTGGAAATATGCGCGGTATTTTAGTATTATACTAAAGGTCTCTAGCTCTGCCTGAAGCCTGAATTTAAAGGTCTCTTTTTCGCTGGAAATTTTTGCCAAATGTTTTGAACTTGGGAAGACTACTGGAATTTTCTTTTAAAATCCTTACTATGGCTTGTTGTTGGAAATAGTATGGAAACCCAATTCTCACACTAATTTCAATTTCTATACTATGGATATAATATGGGAATAGTACGGCAATACTATGAATTTCGTGGTGCAAATAATAGATCAAAAGTCTAGTCTATTAGATTCTACCTCTAAAGGGACTGGAGTACGATCACAGAAAAAATGCGAACAGTTGGCACACAGAGTTTTGGCTTATCACAGCTCAGCCTAGTTCTATGCATAGTCTGTCAAAATATGATTATTATTTATTATTATTTAAATTTATTTAAACACGGTAACCTATCAGTTTCCTGGTTTTCATAGGGCCGTGCATCTATTTACAAAAATATACTATCTACAGACTAAAAACTAATTAATATCGTAACTGTAACAAAATAGCATGCAATAATTGTTTTAAATCATATATATCTATAATAGTGACATAAATCATGCAAACACTCAACAATCTATGACTTGAAATATCCATTAATAGTACTTTTGAATGAGTCAATAGAGAGTTAATTGTAGTTATCCCTTATTTGCATAGGTAGTTTATTCCATGATGATGATCCACGATAAGAAAAACTATTTTTCATAAAATTCGTCTTAGGTTTTTTTAAACAGAGATTTCTGTTATTACTTCGAAGGCTATAATCATTGTTGAAAGTAGCGGTGAAAAG